AGATTTTGGCAAGTTTCTCAGTTATCAGTTAATTTTCTCGGTTCTCAGTTAAGCTACATGTTAAATATTAATTTTGTGTTTAACAACTAAATATTCAGAAAAGCATTTTTTACCTCAAATTCACATTTGTCATCATCTGGCGGGTCTTTGATCAAAGGACAACCTTAAAGCATCAACAGTTATATTGATGTGTGGCATAAAGTTGAAGAAAAGAACAAGCTGCTTACGCTTTGATGATAAATCGGCGTGCGCGCTTTGTAATTTGTATATTACCTGTGGTATTACGTCATGTGTATGTTTATCTTGAGATTGACTTAAAGGGACACTGTCAATGGATGACATGCGCGAGTAAACTTGAAAACACTAGGCTAGTGTTTTCAAGTTTATGACTCCAAGTTGGCGCGACATAAATCAGATCGTAAACGTAAACAGATCTAGAATATTCCAAAGTGTGTCAAAAGCACCACAAAATGATTTACCTCGAAGGTTATACTTTCAAAGTCCGTTAGAGGTGAGACTGTTACTGCGCATGTCATCCATTGACAGTGTCCCTTTGATAACCCGAGTATCAGGCCTTCGAGAGAGCCTGATATTCAGGCGAGTCTTCAAGGGCGAGCGACTCGATAAATGGCGAAAAAAACAACTAGCGAACCTATGAGACCATGGTAGACATTTACGTGGACATTAACCTTGTTCCAAACAACCCTCCCCGCTTCGCTTGTGGTAGGGAGAAGGATATAGCCTGCGTAGCGGCCCTATTGAGGGGATTTGGATGGGAGGGCCGCTACGCAGGCTAAGAGGGGTAAGGGCCTTCGGACGAGGCTGAGAAATCTTGAAAAGTTTCCCTTCCAAAATTCGATAAAACGACTGAAAATCATTGATTTCTGACAAAAATTCATTCACTATAGTCCAGAAAAACGGACTGAAAATCGTTCATACATAAAAAATGTCCGTACATAAGTTACGTCTATGATAATGCGATGTATTTTTCCATAGAGTGCAAATACCTATTAATATCGTGCTAGGTGCTACTAAAGACGAGTGAAAAAACAAAACAAAAAAAAACCGTGAAACAGATATTATACTAATACATCTTTATAGTACGCTCTAACTTCATTGTTTTCTTTTGTGTCTATTTGACTATCACTCTTTTAATTTAAAAATAGTCGAGTTTTTGTTTCACAGCTTTAGAGTGATATCAAAAAACCGTGAAATAGATATTACACTAATACACGTTAGTACGCTCTAATTGCATTATTTTCTTTTGCAGTGTCTATCTGACAACCACACTTTCATAGTCAAGTTTTGCTTCAAGAGTTCAATGACTTTACGATGACTATTGCGATGAATTTCAGGCTCTTCAGTATTTGCACTCCATAATTTAATATTTTAACTTAGAACTATGTAATTCGTCGTGGAGAAACTACCGGTAAACTAGTGTGAGCTGTGTCGGTGTTTCTATAAAGACACAGTAGTAAAAAAAGATAAATTTAACCCCGTAAGATAGTACGTGAAACAACTTACTGACGTTTCGGACGTTAATCCTTCGTCCAACGTTAATCCTTCGTCCTTTACTCCAACGAAGGACGTCCGAAACATCGGTAAGTTGTTTCACCTACTTTTTACGGTTTTAAATTTATTCTTTTACTCAACTATGTAATTCGTGGTTCTCCTAGTAATCTTGCCACGAATCTCTTTTCATTTGGCGACTCTGTACTAAGTCCTACTGTACTAGTGTTCGACGATCTGTAGCTATTGTACTGTGGTTGTATCGAAGAAGTTTCGAGTCTATCGTGGCTGTTGATGAGGTAGTTTTCAATCGTGTCTGTTGTTGTTTGACTACAACAGACTTCAGCATACTGGGTTTGTGGAGGATTGAAGCAGTTTCGCCAACATTGTGTCAGCTCAGTAGATTGACCATACACTAAGCAATTGAGGAATCCTTGAAGAGGGTTGAGAACCGCCTGAAACGAGAGATCGAAATGTTCATTCTATAGCATTAATTTTATACAAAGAATTGAGGGAAAAAAATAAAAAGTGAATAAATAAATAATTATGCATTGTAATGGAATGGCAGCCGGATTCCAGTATGAGTATGCAATACATGAAACAAAGCAAAACAAAGTTTCTTTCCAAAATCACATAAAAACCTCAGATTTACAAAACCTGGTAATATTGAAAACATTTATTTATTTGATTGCATCGTAAAACTGCTGAAAACCAAAATTTCAAAAGTTTGGTTCTTTGGAAGATTGCATGGATAATTTGCACGATACACCAAAAATCATATGGAGACTATCTGAAAAAAGACGCCAGGATTTCCCATCATGATTTCTTTTAAAATGGAGTCCAGTCATATCGGCCATTTTTTGTTCGAGGGGACTAGGATGTGACTATTTACCTCGATCATCCAGATTGGAAAGTGTGCCACGGAATGTGGGGAGATCTCTTCGTTTTCCACTATGTAAGCTTGACTGCCGCTTTTAAAAAGTTCATGTACATCAAGAAAGCCATCGACAACGTTTGTTATCCAGCTATACAGGAGAACAGAAACATTAAGGAACTGCGCAATATTTATCTGGGATGGGGGGGGGGGGGGGGGGGGTTGAGAAATAAGCCAAAAATCAAAAAAGTTAATTACCCCCCCCCCCCCTCTCGCAAACGAAATAAATTACGCTCTACAACCCCCAAGAACCCCCATCCACCCAACGCCGTTGATTTTTCAGTTTCCAATTGTTATAGCTAATTTTGTTCCCCTCCTCTTAAGCCCCACCCCTCTGGATTCTCAACGCTCTCCCCTCTCCTTATAAATATTACGCAGTCCCTTAGCATATAGCAATACAAAACTTCTGTAAAATCATGGGGTCTAATCACTCGTTAGAAAACAAATAAACAAAAGTTAAATGAAAAATAAAATGAAAATGGGACTCTTACCACAGGACAAACACGAGCCAAATCCGAAAAAACTTTTTTCTAACAGCAAATAGAAGCTGCCTTTCTGCATTCGTGTAACACGCATGTGCAAACTTGACATTTTTCCGGACTAAAATACAACAAATATCATTGGCTTATTAAAATCTAAAACACATTTAACAATATCAAAATGACTTCCGTGTGAAAGAGCCGGCCATAAATCCGCCATATTTTCAATTCAGAGTTTTACTTCTAAGGGACTGTGCAATAATTACCAGGAGGGGTCGCCGTAAAACCAGAGGGGGGGGGGGAGGCATTACGTAAAATTGATGGCAAGATAGGGGGGGCCTTAAGTTTTATTCAAAATTTTCATAATTATCGATGTCCCTCAAAATGCTGGAAATCGCATTTCCAAGAGTTATTTCTTTCAAATTTTGAAAAGCATTTTCAACATTTTCTGAGGGGAGGACCAGACACCCTTAATACTCCCGCCTTTGGCGTTCGTTAGACCCCCAGATCCAAAATATATGTCGCGGTCCCTGACATGTGCATAAAATTAAGTCCACGCCACGCGCCTGACTAATGGTAATTATTGCACAGTCCCTAAACATCCAATATTTTGCGAATTTATGAAGAATTGAAATTAAGAGTTATGTGTGTATTTTTGAATCACATATAGCCGCGATTTGGTGTTTTTCCACATTTTACCGGTAATGTAAAATAATCTTGAAACACAGAATCTACAGGGAGTCCACAGTGTAAAGTTCGTACAAAGCCGATACAATTTTTTCGGAACTCATGATGGACTCGGGACCAAATTTGACAAAAAACTACACAATTTAAATAATGATTTTCAAGTAAGATCAAGGGAGACACCAGTCTCTTTTGAAGCCATTACTTTCGGGTTTCCTGTGTCTCCCAAAACAGGAAGCCCGGCAAGAGGATCGGCTGCAAATGCAATCTCGTATCCAGAGCCCACACTTTTGCCATCCAGCGGATGACAATGCGTGAGAGACTCTGGAGGAGTCCATTTTTTCTTGATTCGTGATTGGTTGAAAATGACGGGAGCGTGCATTGTTTTCAAGTCGGTTTTTCAAGTCGCCAGAGTCCAAAGGTCCCAAAGGGATCTCCAAGGGGCAAAATGAAGCCACTCCCAAGATATCCCTAACCCTTGCTTTTATTTTTTTACTACCCTTAAGCCTTAAAAACACAAGTGATAACAGCACCTTTTCTGTACGCCAGGAGATATATAAATGGTAGAACAAGGAATACACAAACAAGAGGCACAAAACACACCATGTAATGCAAGATTTCTTGAGACTTAGTAGAACAACTAGAAGATGAAAATGAACAAATTATTATCACTGATGATGATGATGATGATGATGATGATGATATTTATGATGAATAAAATACACTTCAATAAATTAAATTATAAACAAACTTATTTAATAATAATAATAAAAAACTTCTTCGATATGTATTGAAACATTTTCAGAGGATATTTTTATTTCTAATCTTATTACCCTATCAATTGAAATGTATCAATTATTATTTTTTCATTATTGTTTTCTCTAAAATACATATAAACTGTTTCATTATAAAATATGGTACCTAAGTACCTACACAGGATCCAAAAATGTCAATATATAATAAATCTCTTTTAAACAACTTACTATTCATTTGAGAGAGTGAAATATCCAATTTGACCCCATACAACCAACCACACAGGCACAAGCCAGAATACTATCTGATAAGCTCTCATTCTGATACTACGAAGTAAAGAGGCCAATTGAATCAATGGTTTCAAGAATAGAGCTAATTATCCAATGATAAAAGCAACCCTTAGCATCCAGTGTGGGATAGCTTTTACAGAACCTGCTTTAAGAAAGCTTTCCAGGGTGCAAAACTTTTGGAAAAACAAGTTTTTGAATTCTATGACCCGTATTCTATGACTGTTTTCTGTATTTTTAGCTTAAAAACTATTCATGAATTCTGAATTTATTATCGTTCAAATTATATTATCACAGTGTGCAGAGTGAGCATGATTTCAAATTGTTCCACATGTTTAAAAAAAAATGTTTTTGTGGGGGAGAGGGGGTGTAGAATTGTTTCATGCATTTTCAGGTGAGACCACAAATACGATTTGAACAATGATTTTTCCCATTTCCCAAGGTCTCTTAACAAAAATCAATCATAAATTAAAATGTACCTTGTGTCTTTATCATAAATTTGAAGACAAATATCCAAAGCATATCCAAATGTCCAAAGGTATGAAGAAACATATGAAAACATAGTAAAACTCTGGAAATAGCAACAACAATAACAACAACAATGATAAGAAAAAGGATTATAAATAAATATGAATTAATTAATTAATTAATTAATCAATTAGTTAATATTATGAATAAATATTGATATAACTTAATCAAATATATTTGTTTTTGATGTAGTCCGTGATCATCTCAAATCGCTGAAAGCTTAGTTTGTAAAGTCATGAGAATCTCTCAGTACAAAAGCCAAAAAAATACAAAACTACCTCTATAGGAGCTCCAACATACATGTACCAGTGCTTTGTAGTGGTCACGTTAAGTTTTTTGCCTAATGTTGGTACGAACATTTCCTCCGTAAACGGTGGATCCATTGTGATGAATATTATTGACATCGCAATCACGCCTGGAATTGTGAAAGAAATTGTTAATAATTCCTCTATCTTTATTCATACATGTGGGGTTTAATAATATACCTACCTATACAAGTGAATAAATCAGCAAGAGCTAAGCAAAATGCTATACATACCTATACAAGTGAATAAATCAGCAAGAGCTAAGCAAAATGCCATCACAGGATTTGAAGACGGTTTTCGTCTCGATTCGTAACCTTTGATAAGACGATTCCAAGACCTCAGCTGTACACAGGCACYATACGCTGAGAGGGTTGCTGTAGCTATGCAAACAGCGCTAAATACACGCCGTTGTCCAATACTTATTTCTTCTTCGGGAATACAATAAACAGAACGGTACCTGAGAAACGCCATGTTTTCTACTCGCAAAACGCGAGAGATTGGGTTCTACTTTCTGTTTTTTAAAGTATAAAGGAAAAGAAAATATTCTTGAAATCGGATTATGAATTTAGTTCTACAAATGATATTTTCTAATTATTCCTGATTTGAAAAAGAAGGGAAATGAAAAAAAAATAACCATCAAAGCAAAAGGGAAAAAAAATAACCATCCCCGGTGGGACTCGAACCCACAACCTTTGAATTAGAAGTCCAACGCGCTAATCCATTGCGCCACGGGGATGTCGTTGTATAGAAACGTGTAATTTTCATTATTTGAATTCTCATGAAAAACAAAACCACGCTTATTACAGGAGGAAAATCTTTTAATTTTATAATTGGACGCCATTACTACATACAATAATCTTATCTTACATATCATAAAACAAGGTTTCCATTGTGTTCGGCTTGAATGAGTGACTTGAGAAAATTTATAAAATCGCGTGGACAAACCACAATCTTCTCTGGGGGTAGGGGTTAGGAAGAGCGAGCCTGACTCGAAAGGTTAAGAATAGGGTTGTCTTCATTTTTTCACATCTGCATAAAGACATTTTTGCTAAAAAATGAGAAGAGTTAAATGCAAAAATACTAATTTAATAGATTATACATGCATTTTTAAGTTTATTTTATTTTAGGAAATTTAGTACAAAATCGAGATTCTACTGGTCTTTCCTTACAGCTATTCAGCTAAAAATAACTAAAATAAATAATTGCAAGAATGAAATACAATGTGAACGAAAGTGAACAAAACTAGTGAAAAAAATTGGGGTTGCTGCATGATTATTGCCGTGAGGTGATCTGGGCCCTAGTTAACAACAACTGAACTCCGTACTTAGGTACCGAAGCCAAAAGCGCCGTACTTATATCGACAAAATGAAGAAATTTGGAGTGATATCATGTTCCGATGATAAAAAATGGGGGTTCAGTGAAGCTATAATTTCAAGGTATTTGGAGTTTTTCAGTTTGAACAGCGAACAAGAACAGTGGGTTGGCTTTCATGCCACTCGTGGCGAAGTGCCTCTCACCGAAGACCTTCATAAATTTGATGGATTCGTAATTTCTGGCAGTATATCCTCGGCAAATGACAACGTAGAATGGATAGTAAAGCTGTTGGAATTTATTAGAAGTGCGGCAGACCTAAGCAAAGAAAAAAAGAGGCCAAAAATTGTAGGAATTTGCTTCGGGCACCAGCTTATTGCAAAGGCCTTAGGAGGCAAAGTTGGCTTGAATCCTGACAAGGACTTTGTGCTTCAAACTGAATTAATTGAAGTAACAATTCAAGCTTTTGAAGCTGAATCCATCAAAGGATTGTTTGATAAGGGTCCTCTTCGTGCAGTTCAGTCTCACGGAGAGTGCGTTGTCGAGCTTCCAGAAGGAGCGGTTTCTCTCGCTACCTCTCCCACATGCAAGTATGAGGTAGTACAATATAAAGAGAATATTCTGGGCTTTCAATGTCATCCTGAAATGTACGCGTCGGAAGCAGAGGAATTAATCTTGCCGCACATAGCAAAGTCTCGTAAATGGGACGCTATTCATGTCAAGAAATCGTCAGATAGTTTCAAAATGGAATGTGATTATAAAGAAATTATTAGAGTCATTGTGGAATACTTAAATAGTACGCTTGTATGATTGTTTATCATCAAATTTAAAGAAAGATGGAAGGCTTTTATTTTAAGTAACGCTTTCAATTTTTAATTACTGTTTATAGGGATTAAGTGGTAATTTTTTAATAATGGGTTTCTATTTTTTATATTCGAGGAATTTTTTGCAAATACCAGAATGCTTTGTATTCTTTCAATAAATGTTTTTGATATTCACAAATGGAAATATAAGAGCAATACACCTCTCACTATAGGAAAGGGCAAATTTACAACACCAGTGTCAAAGAAAAGATTCAAATCTATGTCATTATGAAGCAAGTGGGCATAATAAAACATAATAACAGGGGGGGGGGGGAGATTTTGATGCGTCACAATATGTGAACCAGGTTTGCTCTTTTCAAATGGCAGAAATTATGCGAATGTTATTTCACAGCACTAAAATGATTGACCAAAAATTAACTCTGTAATATGTAAACTTTTATTTTATCAAATTATACAGTAGATTTACATTGTACTAGAAAGAAGAATGCCCGAGGAAAAAGAAAAGATTAAGACAAACCAATTGTAAAGGAAATTATAGTAGTAAATTTACAAGTTAATCAATTTCAGTATAACAACTAAACTAAGTTAAGATATGACAATACTAGACCCATGAAACATTTCAGTTTTATGATATTTGAGTATTGTATTTATGCTAAAGATGTCAAATTTATTGAATATAACAGTAATAAATGCAATAAAATCTTTACTAAGGACTTCTTGGAGAATACAATAAAAATAAATAACATTTCATGGGCTTAGCACTATTATACTAGTAAGTCACTGCATGTAGCCCTTGAAATATTCAACATACATTTTAAAGGCTAGATGCAAGGACTTTGAGGCCTAGGTCATAATAAATTCAATATGCTATCATCACATCGAAGCAAATAGTTTGAATATACTCAACCCATGAATTAGTTAAAATCTGCCATTTTGGACCACAACAAACTTAAAAACTAACAAACAAAAAGCTCTTGTCTTATTGAACTTAAGGCACAAGGACCTATCTTTTTCAAAAATAGTGGACGTACAATTCCATGTTATCAAATCTTGTTTAGAGCTTTTTTCAACACTGAATTTGGATTGGCTTGATGTAGTAAACTCACTATTTGGTTTGACAAGGATGATAGCACCACACAAGAACCCAGCCTTCCTCACCAACACTAGACTTTTCATCAGTATCGCCACCATCCTGAGCAATAGCACAAAATATGAACACTGTATGGAAAATTATTTCTTTTGATATTGGTTCTCATAAAGGCATAAAACACGAACAATTTTCAGTTGTAACAAAGAGACTACTTGAAATTCCTTTTTTTTCGGACTAAAAAAGACTTTGAAAACTTCAGGTTTTGAGGTAGCAAACCCGCTAAAACCAATTTTCGATAGGAAAACCTCAATTCCTATGCTATACTTTGTACGTAAGTAGTTATTTGCGTTATYCATAACAATTTGTGCACTCTATTGATCATTTTCAACCATTCACACGAGATTCAAAAGATAAAAGACCAGCAGCCATCTTGGAGAGATGAACAATAGATACTAATGAGAAATATTAGTTCAAATTCCTCCAAGATGGTTGCTGTGATGTAACTTGAAAACGAAGAGTGAAAGCGTGCACTTACATAATTAAAATCAAGTTAGACTGGTTTGCTCCCCAAAACATGAACAAAGAAACTCTTTTTCATTTTGTACGTTCTTGCTTTGTATTTTTCAAGTTTATAAAAACAACTATATGGTCAATTTGGTATGGTTGGTTGTTTCAAAAGATGACTGCATTTTCGTATAATAGAGAGTCAAATTGACCCATAAAATGTCCACAAAGTTCAAGAGTTTTCCACAATGGTGATCATAATGTTAAAAATGTCTATTCAGTGTTAATACCTTCTTTTAGATAAAATCATAGTTGTAGACGTATTAACTATGATAAAAGTTGACAATTAAAAAGTTCTAAATAAAATTAAGATAAAAGCTATATTAATATGACAATAGTTAAGCACACTAATAAATGGATACATCAATAAGAATGGTGATGAAAACTGCACTAAAGCCGCACTTAACTCATTAAAATAGATGTACTTTCCGCACAAAATCCTTTGTTTTCTATGACTTAGAACTTAATAGTTTAATTGTTTCATGAAAGTGTCAGCAATCTATTAAATTATGTGAGAGAATATTAAAACAGTGAAACAAAATCTAACTTTTGCACAATAGAGTGAGGTSATTAAACGCATACTGCACTACTAAATGAAGCTTAGCAAGCCCTAATTCCATTGTTTTCTTGAATGTCTAATGCTAGGCTCACTACACCTTAACAATCAGATTTTGATTCACAGAGTTAATGTCCTCTCTAACCACAATAATGAAAAGTTTATAGCTACAAAAATATGTTATCTAAAGATAAACAAGTAACTTCATTATATTAAACATGGTTGAATGCAGTGTGTTTTCAAAACCATTCTTAAATGGGAAATAAACATCCTACAGTTTCCAGGCTTGTCTTATCATAAGGTCAAAGTGGGCATCGTTGTCAATGCTGGCGCTAAGACCAGAGTAGTAGTTAAGCCATTCAGTCTTAGTAACCTGTTGAGAAGAGTGAAGTTGAAGAAAACATAATATACAGTATTTACTAGATAGTTTTGAGAACAGCAGTTGTTGTCTATGGCCTTTTTTCAAATTTTATTTGACTAACCACGCAATAATAAATTAAAGACAAGGAAACATATCATCTCGAGAGACACAGCCTAATGCGTCTTTCCCTAAGTTGCAAATAGAAATACATCTTGAATATATCATCTCGAGAGACACAGCCTAATGCGTGTCTTTCCCTAAGTTGTAAATAGAAATACAAATATATCTTGAGAGATTGAAATAAATATGTCAATATACAAAAAAAAAAATAAATAAATAAAGACAAGGCTTTGGGGAAACAATACATGTAGATACCGTAATACTCTTCTGCTTCCCCAGAGCATCATATATTGTGATTTGAACAGGGTTTGTACAACACTTTCACTGTAAAATTCCAGGACTTTTCAAGTACTTATAAAGCACAAAAATTTGATTTTCAAGGACTATTATTGAAGATATTTTTTGATGTTTGTGAATATTTTTAGTGGCAATTTTCAAAAATAGCAACATTTCAATCCAAACAGCAAAACGTTTTAGTGATTTTTATCATTTTCAAGGGTTTTCAAGCACCTGTTTGAATCTGTGACTTTTGAAAATGTCCTAATTTCAATAAAAAAGTTGATAAACAACATATGGACTGCAACAGATTCAAGGAGTATTTGAGGAGTTGTGGGGGTGTTTTCCTATCTTCAAGGGCTTTTAAGTACCCTTGAAGACAACTTTATATCAAGCACTTTTCAAAGAATGAGACAAACGCTTTTTTATGATCTAGAAATGTTTAATGGTGTTCAGTGATCAAAAATACCATGCTTGAACCAGAATTGAAAGCCAGGAGAGAGGACATCTAAGTCATGTCTTGAATTGATTAAATTACTAGAAAAATAGTGTACTTACTGTGTTGTCAGGATCAACCTTTGAATCAAAGTTGTGTAAAAACTCTTCCAAACATCTCCTCTCATCCCACTCACCACTCTGGAACTTCTTGTGCTGTCGCACATTGTAAACACTGAGAAAACACAGAGAATCAGTTATTTTGTATGGTAACATATGACAATTTATGCWTTACCAATTCAAACTTGATATAGGMCACAAATCCTAAATTCTGATTGGCTACCAACAATCAAAGACAAAATTGGATGAGCCCWAATGCTAAACAGAAGGTTGAACCTGTTTTTGTATTTATTTATTTATTTTATTTTATTTATTTATTTTTTGCTTTTTTTACAAACATGGTGTATTTGGTGTATTGTTTGTTAAAGGGAGGTCTAGGGGAAAATATTATGTTTGTTAAAGAAGATAAACATCTTGTTTATTATAAATACTCAGTTTTGTTCCTTCTACGTGTGTTTTAATATTCATTTTGCCGTGATGATGGACAAGTTGTCCGAAAGCTCGGAATATTAAAACACACGTAGAAGGAACAAAACTGAGTATTTATAATGAATCCTACGTACGAAAACATGTTAACATCTTGTTTATTGTTTCGAGTCCACAGGAAATGCATTGTCTCACCCTTTCAGGTCCTTTACAGTGATGACACCGTCCCCTGTCTTGTCACACTTTTCAAAAGCCTTCATCACWATCTTAGTTCTTGAATCGTTCATTTTAGGCTAAAGACAACAAATCAATCCATTAATCACACAACTGACCAGCCAAACAGACAGCAAATCAAAATCAATAAATAGTTGGTTATCAATCACTCCCTTGAGATTCAAAAGTTAAAAGACAAAGATCTGTTGGTGATATCACCAACGGTACCAATGGGAAATCTTTGGAACCACCAAACTGGTTACTGTCGAGTCAGGTTATTACCTTATATAATATTGCCCTACTAGTCACACACAAAGGAATCACAACGAGGTGATTAGTGCGTAAAGATCAGCCAATGAAAAGACKCTAGTTTTTCATGACTGACTGAGCTCTATGCACAACACCCTATCTTGGCTCCTTTGTTGAACTACTGTACATGTACTGAGACAATATTTACAAATTGGCTATTGAAAGTAAGCAGAWCTTGTAATGATTCTTAATGATCAATATTGAAAGTCCATCCTGCCTTGTTGCACTTACCCTGAGTCCAGTCAGAAACTCATCAAAGTTAAGRGAGCCACCGTTGTCTTTATCAAACCTTTTGAAAAGCTGATCTATCTCCTGAAATCACAGATWAGTGCACATCAAGCTGTTAGTTTAAGTTTTTTGTGAGTTGCAGGAAACAGCAAAAACCTTGTATTGCCATCATCTACAGCTGTAATACATCAGGCARCTGGTGATCTTACCTCGGCTGTTAATCCAGTTTTATAATCATGCATYCCCTTGGTAAATTCATTTATGTCCAAACTTTTGCTTCGATCATCATCAAAGATTTTGAATGACCTGAAAATACACATTGATATCAAAATTTATCYATCCACAATGGTGGAAACTAGTGGTAAACTAGTACATGTATGTTAATCTTCCAAAGAAGGATTAACGTCTGAAAAATCAGTAAGTTGTTTCACCTACTTTTTTAACAGTGTTAAAATTTACCTTTTTRCACCACAAATTATTGACAAACATTGCAAATTMAATAGTTGATTGCAAGTCAATACCGTAGYTGCGACAAATAAAATTATAGATTTCATTGCATACAAAGAGAGTAAACTTCACTACAATCAGAGGTAAATATTAGACATTGCAGTATTGACATCAAGCCTTACTTTCCAAATCTTGAAATGCTGTTGACTCCTCTYCTTAGCAGAGCAGCCTGTAGTTTCTCCAGAGGATCTGAAGCTTCTTGAGCTATCTTGGCATATTTACGCTCTAATTCTTTATCTTCACTGATAGACATGATGAACCTGCCAATGGAAGCAATCACTATTATCTTACCCTTCATGTGCTAAGAGAAGATTTACATAAAAGTAAATTAAAAAGTTGAATTAATAAAGGATATTGCATGGGCATTCGAAGATACCAATTTTATCTTCGAGTGTTGAAAAGATCTCTCACATGTTCGCGTATTGATTTTTCAACACGAGAAGATAACATTCACATCTCCAAGCGACCATGTAATATTCTGTTTATCATATTATATTGTCATGAAAGCAAATTATGTTTTAAAATCATTTTTATTTCAAGCTCCAATATATAGAGATACAAGGAATGTTTTATTTTAACTAGTGAAAAAAACTTTACATAATGGAGAAATATTTAAGTATTTTATAGATAATTATAGTATAAATATAAATAATAAACAATTGTAAAAATAATGATTGAAACTAACTAACTAGTGCGAGTTGCATCTGTGTGTCCAAAGAAACAGTTGTGAAAATTGGATAAAATAATAAAAAGTAAGAGAAGCAACTTACTGAAGTTTCCTCGCACTTTTGTACTTTAATTATCTTATTTTAAAAATGTAACGACATAAAATTGCACCTCAAACTAGAGCTTAAGTAACAAATGTTTAGGACATTAGTCCTTTGCCATTAAAAAGTTAGAGTTTTGACTGATGGTACAAGAAAACCAAATGGAATCAGCAACTCAAGTAATTTGTATAATATTTGCATAAAATAATATTTCAGTAAAAGGCCCACAGGGACAATGTCATGAAGTTYCATGATATACAATTTATTGGTCATTATAATTATAAATCCTCCACCTAACACAATATGATTGGACGAGAGCATTAAATTTACATAATTATTCTCATAATTAAGTTTTTTATCAGCAGCTGATCATGCCCACTTTAAAGTGCTACTTGCATAAAAATCGTCTTATTTCAAAACTTCAAACACTACAAATATATGACTCATTTATATCAATTAAAAACAATTGCAGGAGAATATTTGTTTTGGAATTATCCCACGTCAGAGAAATTTTGATTCAAAAGATGAAAGAACAAAAGGATGTAGTAAATGACGTCATCTACTCCAACATTTTTTCCCCAATTTATTAAGGATTTGTATCAATATCTTCTTGAAATCTGTTGCTTCATGATTATTAGACCCATATGGATAGGTCTATTTGATTTCCAAGTCTTTTCTAATGTTTCGCAATTTTCGTCCAAGTAGCCCTTTAACTGCCATATTGATTTTTTCCTTTTACATTTAACACACACACAAAAGAACACAAATTTTGTTGAATTTTGAAATGAATAAATAAAGACAATAAAAATGAATGAAAATAAAAATGATATTTTGAGTCATAAATATCACATATTTAACATAAAGTCATGAAAAACAGAGACAACTAATAGCCTTACAAAAGCCAAGAAAACCAGACAAAATACTTGTCACACAACATTGTTACTATGTTTATTTTCAATGTTTCTGGTTTTCATGTCATACACTGTCKATAAACTTGAAAATAAGCTTTGAACGACAAGTTTTTTTGTATCTTATATTTTCTGTTCTTAATAACCCTGAGTTAAACATTTTACTTAATTGTGTGACACCTTTAGACGTTTCTAGATCAAGCAATTTCATCCAGCATGTCAAAAAGCATAAATGAATCTATTAAGTATGTGTGGTGCACCTCAGAAACTCATGTACTTAGAGTTAGCTTTCATAAAATTATTCCCAAAAATTAACTTACATAATTAACTAAGTCTTTTTACATACAAATTATATGAATTTTGTACAGCTCATGTTTTGAAGGTACGTACCCAACCAAATATCACATGCAAAGATCTCACTGGAAAATTCCTGGTAAAACTATCAACAATTTCATATTTGTATTGGGTAAAAGTTTAACCTTTAAAAAGCTAAGCCTRGTTTTGAWTAGTGGAGTAAGTAGAGAAGGAGAAGAAAGCAGGAAAACAAATGAAAACCTTCCCTTTCGCTCCATTTCWCTCTCACATAAGACCTTACATGTAAGCTTAATCTGATTGAAGCTAATATAGTTGGAGAAARGAAACCTAAAGAAACCTAACTTTACAGTTTAATTGAACATCTTTCTCAACACATGGCAATCATGACAGTTTTATATGAATTTTATACACAATTACAAGGATAGACAACAAAAGAGAGACAGCTAATGAAAAATCAAAAGTTTCATCCAGATGATGGCATTGTTWTATATAACAAGCTGGTCCTTCCAAACACGTGAAGASAACATTAATATTTMATTTCCAAAGAAACTACACTACATKCATTAACTAAAAGAAAGACTTTCATTTCAAATTCTAGRCAGTAAATGACTCAGTTCTTGTCCAAAACAAGTCTTGTTTTTTTAACCAAAGGTGGTTCTTTCGAGCGGCCATTTTGTCAGAGTGTGCTGTCGAATGGCGCTCAGCAAGAAATAAACGGTTCTATGGGCGACACCCCATGAATTTTAGACCAACAGTGCATTTAAGCATAAAAATTTATTCTTTTGAAAAATGCTTGCATTATAAACTTTTCGAGCAGTAAAATGAATCGGAAATGTAGAAAATTGATGTTCAGCGTTTGCCGCCACGTTCAGCTACACAATGCACCAGTCTTSGAGTGCTGAGCAAACATTAACGCAAATAACTTGCTAAAGAAGAACAATTATGCTTTACCTTCAATATTTATACATTAAGGCAGCTTGCACATCTATAACATGACAAGGAAAAGTGTTTTAGACGACAACTTACCTGCTAACCTGTGCTTTTCCCAAGACAAAAACTTCAAACTGTGTTCGTTGCTGAAGGTGTGTACATTCGTTCCCAAGCTTCCTTRACTTTTATAGGTGTAACACAGGTATACCGTCAAAATTAGCATATTATACTGAACAGAAAAGCAATTAGACTGAGAGGCCGGGAGCAATGTAAAAAAAAATATTAAAACACTAAGAATATGACAAAAAATATATATATTCAGGCTAATATGTTTTACATAAGCCTCTGAACATGCATAATGTTAATTTTATACAAATACTATAAGCTTATTATTTCTGTTGCAGACTGAGTTCATTTGCCTTCGCAGATTATAACATTTAGCTTTGCTTTACAGGTTTTTGAAAATCACCTTTGAATATTACTGTATATAYACTATGAAATAATTTTCCAAAAAATCAGTGTCTCAGTCGGTATATCCATAGCAACAATCTCTAGTTTCTATGACAACCACCAGAACTAGGAAATATTTTCAATTTGAGAGAAGACACAAAAGCATTAATATTCATAAATTTTAATGATACATTTTGCCCTGTGAAAAACTACATTAAATATAATGTAAATACTAGTATTGCATTATTTAAATACATTCTAGGTCMAATTATTAAATATGTAAAATTCCTAAAATTAAAAGTGCAAAATGATTACTTATCTAAAGTTTCTAACTACATGTAGAAACAGTTATTACTAAATTAAATACTAAATGAATTAATTTGAAGTGTTATGGAAGCTTATGGCAGCTTAATTGATTTTTTTTTTGGTATTAATTATCAATTTGAACATTGTTATTAACTATATTGATATCTACAATACTACAACTTCCATCATATATGTGGATACTTGAACATGGTGAACTACACCTTGACAAGCATCTTTATAGATGCACATACAATAATTATACAGTCACTAACATTTTAACCTGAGTATCAGGCCTCCCCCGAGAGCCTGATACTCAGGTCACTAACATTTTAAAAGTTGAAAATTTAAAAATGTCATTAAAAGAATTTATTTCAGATCTTCCATGCTTGTCTCATCATCAAGTCGAAGTAGACATCTTCATCGATGCTTGCACTGACACCAGCATAGTAGTTCAGGAACTCTTTCCAGGTAACCTGKAAATAAATTCAAAAAAGTATTAAATATCACTACCATAGATATAACAAAAGATRAAATCTGGGATTTGCCTACATGTGCATAATGGGTATAGAATTGTCTCAGAAATAGCAAGGCATGCCAAAAATATCTCCCAAGGCTCGCAAGCTTGGCACGTAAAGAAAGGGACTCAGATCTAAAATTGTTTTTGGCTCAGAAGCTGGCAATTGCCGAAATATCTTGGACTAATTCAGCCAAATGCTTGATTCAGATTTTAAGGGGCTTGCARGCTAGGCGAGGCTTGGGTTTTACCATTCGATATGACCTTATATATACAAATCATTTATCATGTAGAGAATATTGTAAATCATAGCTGGTAGTCTGCATTTTAAGAGTGTAGCAAGAACAACTTCAAACCATCACAACAYCGTAGCAAAAACCTAAAATATTCCCTTGCCTTCTCATCCTTATCGTCGCCAGGTTGGAAGCTATTAAGAAACTCTTGAAGGCATTCTTTTTTTGTATATTCACCACTTTTGTACTTTGGATGGTGTTCCACTTTATAAACACTAAAAATATTATTGTATCAATAAAAAGAATTAATGGCATAATTCAATCATGTGGATTGATGTAATTGAATTATATATTGAGTGGGGGGAGGGGGGGGAGGGTGGCTATTCTGACAAAGCAAAGATGTGAATCGATCATCTAACCATAATTTTGGCATATTTGTTTTGGAAAGCAATCTAATGAAATCCCTGACAGAGAGGTCTGGAATGGAACTTAAAAATGATTATTACTTTGAAAATAGTATTACTTACTTTGTCAGATCTTCAACAGTGATGGTACCATCCCCTGTCTTGTCAATCTTTTGAAATGCTTTTTTGATCAAGTTTATTCGGGTTTCACTCATTGGTGGCTATAACAAAACAAACAATTAGTATAACTAAGTATCAGCACTGAAAAGTGACTAGACTAATCCAGACATTTTTAGGACCATTTCATTTGCAATAATCAATTACCCTGACGTGGTTAAGAAATTCATCAAAATTTAGGGTTCCACTTCCATCTGTGTCAAACTCATCAAATAGTTGTCGTATTTCCTAGAATAAAATATAAAAAAAACATATATCAAAATCTTATCTTATGGCATGAAAAGTTAACCATTTATAGCTGGTCTTCCATTACACTCTTGCAGTACCTCCTTTGARAGTTCAATCCCATAGTTTTGAAGACCCTTTTCAAATTCACTAATATTCAAGCTTCGGCTTCTGTCATCATCAAATATCTTGAACGTTCTGTCAGAAAAAAAATAAATCATATCAGAAAATGCCTGGAGGATTACATTGAGAGCTCAATACATTAAGACATAGTTATAAGCAGCCTTTTTTTACCTGCCCAATCCTTTGATCCCACTTGCACCTCTTCTGGCGCATGCTGCTCTTACTTTCTCAATCGGATGGCTTGTTTTACTAGYCATGATAATGCTAGTTTTAAAACAACAAAACAAAACAAACTTTATTAGAAGAAAAAAACATTCATAAAAGCAGCTTCCTTTCTAAAGTTTCAGTACATCGCAATTTAAACTTTTGAAAACTTCGAAAACGGTAAAGAATGATATCAAATCAACCAAGAGATTTAAGTTGATACAATCCTATCAAGTTTTCGWGCATTAAAAGTTTCACGAACAATTCAAATTTACAACAGAGCTACAGAAATTCAGGATCATTGACAGCAACAAACCGACTTTCGGTAGACTTGACATACAGAAACAACTACTGAAAAGCTGTTTTCACCCCTTGATAACGATCAAAACTGGTAAAATAACTTGTTATCAAGTAAACTTACGAATTAATCTTGAMGTTTCGAGAATAAAATACARGTTTAGCGTCAAAATAGGTCTCCCACAGCGCGCCAACATGGCGCGCCGCGCGATGCCGTGAGGTATGAACCCAGTCTTGCTCGATCAATATTTGCTACAGGTATACCACAAATATCTCTTATCCAGTTTTATTTCGAAAGAGTTAGAATYCCTTATTTTTCGAACTTTTCAATCATGAAAACATAAGATATTTCTGCCAAACTAATTTTTGTTTTTGGAAACTTGGTATTCAAAGCTCAAAAACTTCATTTGTTTGGAAATTTGGAAAAGCGGGGATCTCCCCTACAAGACACTAAGAGAGTTCTAAACATGTAGTATATTCTATATAAGAGAACAGATTAAGAGCGCAGTTGACAAGAACCTTGGCGCGCTGCCATAGTAAAATATTCTTGATTGCCTCGCAAGTTTAAATCCACAGCGCATGTGCAGTCGTGGTGTCAGTCCAAGTCTCTGGTGATTGGTTAGTGTGTTTGGTGTCCAAGATAGTATCGTATGCATCTAGAAGTGATGGTAAAGTGTAGTCAGATTAGTTTGGTGGAAACAACAACAACAAACAAAGTAAACAAACAAACAAACAAAACACCAGAAATGATTGTATGAGAACAAAGCATGCTGGTTAGTCTGGTTAGAAAAGTCTCCACGTCCGTTCTGTCTGGTGTTTCGATCTTTTAGAGCAAAAAAACTTTGYAGCTACATATTATAGCATATTCAACTTTCATTATAGAGCAATTCTCGTCTTTTTCTATTATGAACTTCCCTTTTCCAATCAAGCTAGCGTTTTGGTTTTTTAAAGAGCTCTATTTTTTATTTCTTCGCAGCCTGCAATGCCTTGAAATCGAAATTGAACTATTTCTTGTTGTTACATGTACTTGTAAGTTTAAGCAACCGTGACGAACCGTGACCTGTTTATTGTTTAAGGTGAAAGTGCACTAACCAAAAATAAACACATTTGATTTGAAAAAGACTGACATTCCTTACAATTTTAGAGCTTTTCTTGCGAAAGCCTGGCAGTAGACTAAAAKTTTGAACCATGAATATTTTCTTGTCCTATTTTCAGTATGTTTTTTATCGGTTTGGCGTAAGAGCAACGACAATGAAGGAATTTTCATATAATCATATTTACGTGCAAAGGCAACCAAAAACATCTAAATGACATAAATATTTAATCAAAACATTAATCGCCAAGATTCCTTTCGGGAAGGAAGAGTTCCTTTAAACCCATTTACTATWGAAGAAAATCTTGAAAAAGCGCGCGAAATGTAAGAACGCACGCGTTTCAATAAATTGGTGTCAGCGCGACATTGCGCTTTGCGCGCAAACTCGAAATTATGGTTTTCCCGTTATGTAAACAATGGATTTAATTGAATTTGTGCCAACAAACCGGGTTTCTATTCATAAAAATCAAGTGTTTTGTAAGCAAAGAATTAAATCTCAGCTGATAGTTGTGTCTATGTGTATTAGTTAATTTGACAGATTTTGTTTTCGACATGTCGAAACTGACAAAAAGTAAGCTGTTTCCAAAGTAGCAGAAACTCGCTTAGAAATTCGCTCTCTCTGCTGGAGTCTGTATCAACCTTCTATAAATATTCAGTGAAGCGTTGTCTGTAAACGATATTTGTATTCGATTGCTACATTTACATACCAAACAAAAGAGGTCTTTTCTCGTCTCGTTAGCGACGTTAACTTCAGAAGACGCTAACCGAATTTCAACGATTTGATTTAAGTTACTTTGATCAAAATAAATTGAATACTTAAAAATCAATAGCAAAAATTGTTTGTCATATTAAAAGATGTTCAGCTACTCTTTCAAAAAGAGAAGATTTATAAAAGAGGATTAAAAACAAGTCGTTTAAAATATAAATATTCAAATCTGTGCAAAATAACCAACATATAATCTGCAAGATAATGAACTTTGAAATATGGGAAAAGTTTCATATTACAAAGTAAAAAAACGAAAAAAAGAAGAAATAAGTAAAGTATATATCAAACTTTCTTGAAAGATAGATACTTTTTTGTATAGACTGTTGCAAAATGAAGATTAATCTAGATTTACTTCAATCGCAGTTTTTCTTTTTCTCTGGTAACAATTTACTAAAGTTAAACTTACTTTGTTGAGATTCTTGAGCAGCCTTTAAGAGTAATAAGATCAAGAACAATAGTCAGTTCTGTTCAGTGATATGACAAACACGAAATGGTTGCTAGAAAACCAAGCTTTGGATTAGCTTTTCTTTTGTTTTCCAAGTTATATTAGCAACAGAATCCTGATTGGGTGCACAAGTGACCGACAAGATCAAAGCAATGAATAAATTCATCAGGAGTAGCTTATTCAACCGTGAACAACATCAACAAACTKTATTTGTTATACAAGAAAAACAAATAATATTGAAAACGAATTAAAGAAATAAGTATGTAGGGTCATATTTGAGACAAACAGCCAAGTATATGGCAAATTTTGTGTAGTATTTAACAGGATTTAATGTTTTTTCCTACRAAAAGTGGCAAGTATCCAAAGGATGAAAAATTGCGGTTAKTTTATTTTATTATCAAAATATTTCAATAACTCCATTAATAAATATTTAGGTTTTTTTCATCGCCTTGTATACCATAGAATGTACAACAGCGGCAAATTATTTAAAAGGACAATGAAAACATTTCCGTGACTCTTTSCGATTGAYAAGTTCATCTCCGTTAAAATTGTGTTGAACCGATCACGCTAAAAAAAATCAAATTAAATAACTTTTTCTGATGTTGTAATCTTAATGTGGTCTGATCAAAGGCTTAARAAAATCGTTTTTGACATCTTTACTGCAGGTAGCTACAACCGCACTGAAACTGTAACCATTCCTTACAAGAAAAATAAAGCATCTCTAAATAGAATCAATAGGGGGCGGGGCAAGGCTGAAATTTCACAAGCTGTTCAGTTCAGTCATTTTGTTTTCAGTCGGGGCTTTTTTACGGCATGTACCTAATAGCAGGGAGTCCAATAGACTAGAGATCGGAAGCTGATGGTCTTAAAACGTTTTCTAACTCGTGGTTAAAAAACGGTGCYAGAAACACATTATTCTATTCTGCTCCACTCCTGTAATAGCCGTCGAGTCCAAGTACAGTGTACTTTAGACTATGAAATGTTGTTGTTTCACGAAWTTTGTCGCTCCCCTGTCTTTATGATGGGAGTGTGAATGAAACAAAAACCGAAATAAGAAAACTGTTACTTCAATTACAAGGCTGACTTCATTCATAGTYTACAGTACTTTTGACACTTTCAAATTCTATTTTCTTTATTTGGACATTTTATTTACATTCCTTTTGTTACAATACAATATGAAGTCATCAGACCATGTCAATATTATTACTTGATTGTTTGAAGAACAATAACACAATTACTACTGTGTTACTAGTCTCATTCGCCGCGTTTGGACAGGAATCCCGAAACAAAAATAAGTGCAAAGTAAACTATATGACCCAAGTGTCAAAAACCCTTGGAACTTGGATATTCCACTATCAAAGCAACTAAAATCATTAAATTAATKCTAACTGAAAGTACAAATAGCAATTTTCATTTTACAGTGAAAATAAGAAAAAGCTAAAATGGCAATATTAATTAATAACAAGAAAACACAATTTACACAATATGCATTGAAGTGTAAAGCTTGGTTAATTGCCTAGTAATATAGTTAAAAAATGCCAAGTTAGGAYCATAATATGTTTGTGTGCTCTGTGYYTATGACGTCAAATCACTGGCCAGAGTGTGCTGAATAATCTTAACTTTATATGAACTATTAAATAAGCTAGATTTTTGATCAATTTATGATCCTTTTTGGTTTGACCAACAACCAATAAGTAAATAGGCAAGAACATAAGAATGATTTTAAAATAAAATCTTACAAAAAAAATCTAAATTAACCCAAAAAATGCCACAGTTAAGGTATGTAATTCTTGAAGCACTAATTTCTAATACTGAAAAAATTAAAGTCAAAATAACTCGCACAAAGTAAAGCTGGTTAATATTCATTTAATTAATGCAGGATTAGTGAATAAAAATTTGTAGCATAATTATAAATTTGTTTACATTATTTCAGSGTCAACTCTATCTTCTGTCTCCACCGTTGAGTTTGTAGGCGTTTCTCATCATGAGATCAAAATATGCATCGCTGTCTATTGATGCACTAACGCCTGAATAATAATTGAGAAACTCATCCAAGGTTACCTACAAGAAAACAATAAATAATAATCATAAATAATGATTAATTGATAATAATCACTAATATTGTTTTATAGTTAGAATAAATGCAGTTGTTGCACTAGTCTATATCTACTGACTTMAATTGTGTATGTCATGGAATCAGTCATACTAATTTTCTCTGACACTTAATTTTGCCAAATCAGAACAGCCATATTTCAAGAGCATTAATTTTATCATTTTTTTGTCTTAAATTCTCATTATAGTTGTCCATAGGAAGCCCTAATTCAAGAAACCAGAGCCTCTGTTTGATTTTCCATCTGTTACTTACAGTTCCGTCTTTGTCATCWGGCGAATCGAAACTGTCTAAAAATTTTCGGAAAACCTGTTCTTCAGTCCATTCACCATTGATGTATTTTGGATGGTGTTTGACATTGTAAACCCTTGAAACAAGAGATGAAAATAGCATTAGTGATCTACATGTGGTATGAACACATCATCAAG